TTGGGCAATCCTACTTCCGTAGTGATACTGACTCGGAAACCCAAGGAGGGGTCGCTATGAGTTGGGGCCGACTCGACGGCACATAACAACAACAACATCATCTATCTTTCATGTTGTTCTCAGTTATTTGATGATTTGTGGCTGACTGGTTTATTTGTTTTTAACAAAAGAGAATGATAGAATATATTAATACATATTAAGAACTTTCTTAACAATGGAACTTGGACATCAGTGTGAATCAGTAAATATAGATCTATCTCTGCCTAGTTTTTCTAATTTATTTTTATATACAAACATGATATAATTTTATTTAAAGAGACTTATTTTATATATGGTGTTTTTTAAAGTGTATCTTTATTTCTTTTTGCTTGTTTCATTTGTTTTCTCTCTTCTCCCTTCCTAATGTACACACAATATCAGGTAACAAGTATTATTAACACACTGATTTGATTCCCTCTACTTCAAGAAATTTCTTGTCTGCCTTCTCATAAAAATGGTCGCTGGCAGAAGAGATGTGGAATTCAGACTCTTCTCCCTCATTCTTTGATTGGGTGATCTTGCAAAATCACATAACCTTGCTCAGCCAAAGGTTCTACTGAATGGAAGTAATAATTTTATGTGACTTAATATGTATTAAAATGCATTAGCTGTGCCTCTTCCATGCATCTCTCATCACTAAAAATACAAAGCATGGTTTCTGGCCTAAGCCACTTTCAGCATAGTGGAGGCACAGACTGAGGCATGATGGATGCCTTCATATAAGATTACAAGGTTACAATGGTGGTATGTCTAGAATCCTATGAAATTCCAGAGGCGGGGAACCTGGTCCAGCTGGTTGGTGAGTAAGAAAGGACTGAGGATAGGAAAGATTTCCAGGGCGGACTGACACTTGAGTTGAGTGTTGAAGAACAAGTCAGATGGCATCCTATGAATGCTAGTTATTATTTACAGTATTAATATATTTGTTTCTTTTCCTTTTAGGCCAGCTCATTTACCAAGTTCAATCACCTGATGAAGGAGCTCTAGTCACTGCTGCAAGAAATTTTGGATTCATTTTTAAATCTCGAACCCCAGAGACTATAACGATAGAAGAACTGGGAACACTAGTTACTTACCAATTGCTTGCCTTTTTGGATTTCAACAATATCAGAAAAAGGATGTCTGTCATAGGTATGGCTGATAGCTGAGATTATTTTTGATCTGTTGGTTGTACTCTGATGACACTGATGCTTTTCAAACATTGTCTCACTCTTGTCTGTGTGCCAGGTGTTGATGTTTTTATAACTTTATAAACTCCTATAATCCTCAATTTAGCTTCAATACTGTAGTAATAAATATAACTAACATTTAACCTGTGTTTATTATTTGCCCAGCACTTTTCTAAGTGCTCTGTATGAATAAACTGATTTAATTGTTGCAACGTTTAAGGTTGTTGTTGTTGTTAGGTGCAATCGAGTTGGCTCCGACTCATAGAGACCCTATGCCCAGTCCTGCATCATCCTCACAATCCCTGCTATGCGGGAGCCCATCGTTGCAGCCACTGGGTCAATCTATCTTGCTGAAGGTCTTCCCCCTTTTTTTCCTGACCCTCCACTTTACCAAACATGGTTATCTTTTTCCAGGAAATGGTTCCTTCTGACAACATGACCAAAGTAGGTGAGCTGAAGTCTGGCCATTCTTGCTTCCAAGGAGCATTCTGGCTGCACTTCTTCCAGGACAGATTTGTTCATTCTTCTGGCAGTCCATGGTATTTTCAGTGTTCTCTGATTTAAAGGCATCAATTCCTCTTTGGTCTTCTTTTGTCCAGTTCATACACATATGAGGCAATTGAAAATACCATGGCTTGGGTTAGACACACCTTAGTCTTCAAACTGATATCTTTGCTTTTCCACATTTTAAAGAGATCTTTTGCAGCAGATTTGCCCAGTGCAATATGGTATATGATTTCTTCATCATCTTCTTTTTTTTTTTTTGATATATGATTTCTTGACAGCTGATTCCACTTACTGATGAAAATTAAATACTGCAGACTGTAGTATTTAATCTTCATCAGTAAGTGCTTCAAGTCATCCTTCAGCAAGCAAAGTTGTGTCATCTGCATATTGTAGGTTGATAATGAGTCTTCATGTAAGCTTGATGGTTCAAACTTCTTCATATAGTCTAGCTTCTCAGATTATTTGTTCAGCATAAAGATTGAATAGGTGAATGACACACACCCTTGCTTATTTTAAACCATGCAGCATACTTGTTCTCTTTGAATGACAGCCTCTTGGTCTACATATAGGTTCCTCATGAGCATAATTAAATGTTTTGGAATTCCCATTCTTCACAATGTAGTCTATAATTTGTTTTGATCCATATAGTTGATTGTCTTTGTGTAATCAGTAAAACACAGGTAAACATCTTTCTGGTACTCTTTGTTTTCAACCAAACTGCATCTGGCATCAGCAGTGATATCCTTCATTCTATGTCCTCTTCTGAATCTAGCTTTCATTTCTGGTAGTTCTCTGTCAATATAGTACTGCAATTGGTTTTGAATTATCTTTAGCAAAATTTTACTTTCATGTGATATTACTGATAATGTTTGATAATTTCCAAATTCTATTGGATCACCTTTCTTTGGAATGGACACAAATATCAATCTCTTCTGATCACTTGGCCAGGTAGCTGTCTTCTAAATTTCTTGCCATAAATGAGCAAGCACCTTTAGTGGCTGCAAACATTTGTTGAAACATCTCAATGTTTATTCCATCAATTCCTGCAGCCTTGATTTTCTCCTTCAGTATCATAGATTGCTGATCATATGCTACCTCTACTATTTTATATTCATTTTATAGATACTGAAACTGAGACACAGATAGATTGAGTAACTTGCCCAAGGTCACAGAGCTTGGAATAGGTATGGAATGGGTGGAATTCAAACACTGGGAGTTTGCCTGCAGAGCCCATTTACTTAATCACTGTAGTAACACTGGCTCAGGATGAGTTTTTGATTCACTAGGTGCATGCTATTTATTAACATTGTTGTCTTCATCATCAGCCTCATTGCCATCCCTCATTTTCTCTGCTCATCTCTATTGCTAGAGATGATTATCCAATCTTTCACTTAGTGCCACAGCACATCATGCTTTTCTAACTCATTTGAGCCCTCATGCTGCTTCAATGTCCTTCTCATTCTTATTTAGTTATTTTTCTTATTCCCCGCTCAGGTGTCCTAAACCTTTGCCTTTTTCCCAAGCCCTCAACTAGCCCATGAACTCCATTATGTTTTTTTTAAGATAAACTTGTCTCCTATCTAAGACCCTCAGGAATACACACCATTGACCTACTCTCTTTCTCTCCACCTTCTTCATTCCCAAGCAATATCTTCACTCTTTCTCCCTTTTGCCTGAGAGAAAAATTGTGTTTATTCCTTTTCATAGCTAAAGATTCTATTTGGTTGCATTTTCTATTCCTTTCCTTAGGGCATTTCTCCTTTCCTACTTGCATTTTTCCTTCATCGGTCTGCAAACTTACATCTTAGACTTAGTCAAATTCTTCTTAAACTGTCCAGGGCCAAGCACAGAGTTTGCTTGGCATGCAGTGTAGATCCTATAAATGTTTGTTGAATAAAATTAAATCCAGTATTTTGCAACTTAATACTCACCCTGCTGTTGAGTCAATTCTGATTCATAGAAACCCTATAGGACAAAGTAGAAACTGCCCCATCTGGTTTCCAAGGCTTTAATCTTTATGAGAGCAGATTGCCAGGTCTTTTCTTCCACTGAGCCACTGGCGGGTTCTAACCACCAACCTTTCGGTTAGCAGCCAAGCACCAATCATGGTGCTACCAGTGCCTCTTTCACAATATATGAATATCCTTATCATATTAACTCAGGTTCTACAGTGGCTAATGTGTGTGTGTGTGTGTATGTATGTAAATATATAGATCTCATTATATAGTTTTGGTAGTACTGATTCTGCAGGTGGGAGTTATTATTTCTGTAAATAAAAAATACAGAGGATAAAATTAAAGGATAGTTATTAATAGAGGCAGAAGGGCAGATAATCATTAAAGAAGAATAAATTACAGAAGCTCCTTGAAAGGCCGTTGGAAGATCATTAGATAAGTGTTGCTCAAGTCTAAACTTTAGAAAGATTATCAAAGTACAAATCACACTGCTATGTAACAAGCATTTTTCTGTATGAATATAGGAGCAGGAACCCAACTGAGATATGCAAAGTGGAATTATCTGTCAGCCTTCATAGTGCTGCTATTGCATCTACTTACAGTATAAAATTGGAAGACTTTTGTGTCTCATTTTTCCCTTTACATCACAAAGGCATAGGTATTGCTTCCAATGCTTTTTGCACAATTATAGTTCAATTCAATTAGGCAAATATTTTAAATGCCTACTATGTTCCAGGAACTTGACGCTCAGGCAGAATGTAGTATACTTGAAAAATTGAAAGATACTCTGTGTGGCTATATCCAGGAGTGGACAGTGAAAGGGGATAGGAAACAGACTGGTCAGATCTTGAGCTCTGCATATGACATGTTAAGGAGTTCAGGCTTGATCCTAAGGTCAGAAGGAAGCTATTGCAGGATTCTAAGCATTGGTATGAAGATGACCCTAGCTAGAATAAGAAGAGTTTGGAGGAAAGCAGAACTGGGACCAGTAAAACAAGTCAGGTTAATGTAATAACCTAGGCAAGAGAGAATGTGGCAGAGAGAAGTACATGGCTTTAATTGGATGTATGGGTGGTGGAGGAGGAGGATCTGTGAGTGATGCCTACACTTCTTATTTGGAAGGTTAGATGATGAAGCTGGTTGCTAAGACTGGGGACATAGAAGAGTAGCTAGTCAATGGAAGAAGATGATGAGTCTATTTTGAATTTGATGTACCTGAGGAGCCCTGGAGGTGTAGTGGTTAAGGCACTTGGCTGCTAATCAAAAGGTTGGCAGTTCAAACACATTAGCTGCTCCATGGGAGAAAGATGTGGCAGTCTGCTTCTGTAAAGATTTATGGAATGGAGTAGTTCTACTCTGCCTGTAAAGTCACTATGAGTTGGGATTGACTTGATAGCAGTGCTTTTGGGGGGCACATTCAAGGGGAGATGTCCAATTGGTAGCTGGTGTACTGGTGAGAAGGAGTTGGAATTGGGCAGGTGATATACATTTGAGAGCAATTAGCCTGTAGATAATACCTGAAGCCATAGAAATGAAAGGACCTCTGGTGGCATAGTGGCTAAGGCATTTGACTGCTAACCAGAAGGCTGGTGGTTCAAACCCACCAGCCTCTCCCTCAGAAGGAAGACTGGGCAAACTACTTCTGTAGAGATACCACCTTGGAAACCCAGGGAGGGGTTGATTACCCAGGGAGAATGTGAGGGAGGAGGAGAAAAAGGCCCTGGATAAATCCTTAAAGAATAACCAATATTTAAAGGACATCCCCAAACCAATCGAACTCACTGCTGTCACCATGTTGATTCTGACTCATAGTGACTCTATAGAACAGGGTAGAACTGCTTCATAGGTTTCCAAGGCTATAATCTTTATAGAAGCAGATTGTCACATCTTTCTCCCATGGACTGGCTGGTGGGTACAAACCACTGACCTTTTAGTTAGCAGGCAAGCATTTAACCAACACACCACCAGGGCTCCATTTGAAGAAGAAGCAATGGGATTAGATTCTATAACCAAAAAACCATGACCTTTGTCCACATTCTGGCCACATGTTACCTTGGTTATTGGAAGATCACATTCATATTTTTTATTTAAACTGTTATGTTCTGTTTTAATTCATTTAAAAAAAGCTAACTATTGAAATGGCTAAGATTTTATGAAATTTGAGGCTCCCTAATAGAAATTAACAGAGCCTTGAATGGAAAAAAGACCTTTAACTTGTTGAGCTGCAAAAGGAAATGTTTAGTGAGTAAACTTAAGCAGTATTCCATGATATTGGATTTACACAAACTCAAATTTAAATGAGCTAATGCTAAGTTAAGAGAGGGCAATTAAGGATGGAAAATCTTTACTGAATTAGAAAATCATAGAGCTGAAAATTGTATAAGACGTTAGATTGTATCAACACCTTCTTTTCACATGTAGAAACTGAGATGGTGAGGACTTGCACAAATCACAACTGGTCCATGATTTCCCTAGACGAGTGGTTCTCAATGTGTGGTTG